AGGGAGCCCGATGCGGGACTCGATCCCGGGACTCCAGGATCATGACCTGAGCCAAAGGCAGTCGCTTAACCAACTGAGCCACCCAGGCGCCCCCAGGTGTCCCTTCTTGAACACACATTCTGACATAAGTTTAATTGTTCTTTTTGTTTCAGGGTCTTTACCTTCTGCCAGTTCAAAAGTCAGCATCAACCTGCAGAATGACCCTATTATTCAAAAGTATGGCTCTAAGAAAGTGGGCTTAACCAGATGCCTTCTCACAAAGGAGGAAATGAAAACATTTCACTTTCCATTACAGGGTAGGTTTGTATTTAATCTGATGTTGGTAACAATGTAAGAATATTTAACAGTTTATTTTAAACTATTACTGTTGAAAATTCATTGTTTTGGCTGCTTTCCAAATGACTTAGTCCATCTTATATTAATAAGGAAACACTATAAGTGTAGATGTGTACTATGATTGGTAAAGTGATGATTTCGGATAGTACATAAACATGACCTTAAATATCATTGAAATATTCTGGGAGAAAAGTTATTCCTTTTTCAGTTTTCTTTCATTCCTTCTTACTATATTAAAAGGAAGTCAATATGTCTTTAACACTTCTCTAGTACTTCCAGTCTTCCTCTTACCCCACCATACCCCATCTTCATTTTCTTCAATGAATAGAACAAGTCTGGGCTCAGAGTCTTGGTCAGTCATGTAGCAGGAATTTAACAAAAATGCTTTAATTTAATTTTATTTTCTTTATTACCTTTTAATCATAGCAGTAATGTTAAATTTCTTTTTAAAAAAACCACTCTATTGAGATATATAATTAATATACCATATAATTCACCCATTTAACAAAATACAATTCAGTAGTTCTTAGTGTATTTACAGTTTTACAACCGTCACCATAATCAGTTTTAGGCTACTTTCACACCACAAAAGAAATGCTGTACTATTATTTTTCACACAACACCCTTACCCCCTAGGCAATCACTAGTTTCTGTCTGTGGATTTACCTATTATAGATATTTCATATAAATGGAATCAAACAATATCTGGTCTTTTGTAACTGGCTTTTTTCACTTAACAAAGTCTTCAAGGTTCATCCATGTTGTAGCATGTATCAGTACTTCATTCTTTTTTTAAATTTCTTTTTATTTTAAATTTAATTTTAGTAAGATTAAATATAATTTAGTTTTGGGGGAGTCTGGCTGGCTTAGTCAGACGAGCATGAGACTCGTGATCTCAGGTTTCTGAGTTTGAGCCCCACGTTGGGTATAGATATACAAATTTAGTTTGAAAATAATATGTGTGGCACCATCCGTATATGAAAACTCGTATCTTTCAGTTAATCCTACTTACTATTTTTTTAAGATTTAACAAGCAATTATTTTTTTTAATGAAGTATAGCAGTTAACACACAGTATTTCATTAGTTTCAGGTTTACAGCATAGTGATCTGACAGCTCTGTGATTATGCTGTGCTTAAAAGTGTAGCTGCCGTCTGTCACCTTCATTTATTTTCATTCAAATGATATTCTTTATATAGATATACAACATTTTCTGCATTCATTAGTTGAAGGACATTTGGGTTGTTTCCACATTTTGGCTATTATGAATAATACTGCTATGAACATTCAGGTACAAATTTTTGTGTGGACATAATGTTTTCATTTTGGGGAAGTATATACCTAGGAGTAGAATTGCTGGGTTACATATGGTAATTGATAAACCTTTTGAAGAACTTTTTCCGGAGCAGCTGTACCATTTTACATTCCCTCCAGTGATGTATAAGGATTTCAGTTTCTGCACATTCTTACCAACAACTTGTTATTCTGTCTTTTTGATTATATCCATTATAGTGGTGTGAAGCAGTATCTCATGATTTCGATTTCTGTTTCTCTGATGGCTGATGATGTTGAACATCTTTTCATATGCTGTCTGTAAAATGGAGTTAATAGCTCATATATCATGGATTGCCATGGGGATTAAATGAGTTAAGGTATACAAAAGTGCTTAGCATGTTGGGTGGCACATAGTGCTTTTGAAAAGTTATTTTTTGTTATTATTGCTACTAATCATATAGATAAGGGCAGCAAGTATAAAGTCTCCCAGATTTGGGTTTGCCTCTCTTTTCTGGCCTAGACCATATTTTGATTCTTTTAATTGTAATTAGTTGGCAATTTTGAGGTACTATGACACAGAAACTGGTCAAAGTTCCTCAGACTCTACTTTGTTTCTTGTCATACAAGATCTAGGTATTTATACTGTTTAAGCCTCTGTCTGAAGGTAAGAATTTTCAATGGTTCAAACACTTTGGGACCCCTGAGCGGAATATGCCTGGTTATTGACTAAGTAAGGGTACACAATGGAGGGGGTACCTTAAGCCTATAGGTGGGTTCCTGTAGGGAATTTTCAGGCTATGATTCCAGAAAAATGCAGGCATGTTTCTGAACAGAGATCTCAGGAAGTCTCAAGGGTAGAGTTGGGTGCAGAGGTGCACGTGGTGAATGTTACTTTCTGCCTACAGTGAAATCCTTTTAGATCTCTTTTGTGATGGAATTTCATTCCTACTTTTTCTTGAGGAAAGAAAGATGCTACGTGCAGTTTTTGCATACTTTATTATCCTCCTTTAGTGCCTACGTGAAAAGGTCCAGTGACTTGGGATTTAGCCAAAATTTAGGTGTTTTTTGTTTTGGTTTGGGTTTTTTGAGAGAAAGAAAGAGCGTGCAAGCACACAAGGGAAGGGAGAGGAGAGAGAGAATCTTAAGCAGGCTCCATATCCAGCGTGGAGCCCAATGTGGGGCTCAGTCTCACAACCCTGAGATCATGACCTGAGCCAAAATCGAGTTGCATGCTTAACTGACTGAGCCACCCAGAAGCCACAGCTACAATTTAGTTATAATATCTTTTCTTATATGGAGGAAAAATTGTTACTTGGTAACTGCCAAGAAGTCCAGGCTCTACTGTCCCCTATAAGAGCAGCCTGTAGTATTCTCCCAGATTATAAAAATGAGCAGATGGAGAAAAACTTGAGGACCGACATTGTCTCTCATATAATTTTTATATTTCAAGTGTCTAACAGAGAAGGTGTCCAGCAAATACGGTATTTCAGTTTTCCCTCGGTGAATGAATCTAAGAGTGATGTTTATCATCTCTAGTTTTAAAGGCAGATACTTTATTTCTTTTCCTCCTAGGTTTTCCTGACTGTGAAAACTTTGTACCTACCAAATGTAATGGTTCTATAACAGACAACAGTCCTCTCTTTGGACTTGACTGTGAAATGGTAAGTACTACTTTTAATGTTTCACCTGGAGGGTTACAAACTAGAGTCTAGTAGAAGATGATTTCTTGAGTCTAATGCACCGGTGAACCAGTGCATTTAGTTCCAATATTTTGGTTTAAATAACTGAAAGTAGACCCTTTTACTCACATTTTAGAAAACTTGGATATATGCTCCAGGATGAAGAATAAATATCACATAAGTTTTTTAACTAGTTGTTATGTTTAACCAAATCTCTGTCATTTACTATAAGTTTACTCCTTCTGTCTTTTGAACAGGGTTTTATTGTTCCCCTAAAGACTTTGACTCAATTGCTATTGGTTTGGCTTAGTTTTACACATTTAAGATCAGAAGTAGGATTTCCCTCAAGCTCCCTTTGTGTTTTACTTTGTCTAATTAGTAAGTCTCCTTTCAAAGACAGGGCATCCCCTATCAATACTCAGGTACCAGTCTCTCATTTCTTAACAGAATGGCTAAGAGCTAAAGTTTTCGAATCTCATATCAGAGTGTGTATCCTGGCCTTGCCTATCAATGGCGTTGTCACTTTGGACAAATTCTGTAACCTCTCATTTTCAGCTTCTCCCTCTGTGAAGTGGGGATAATAATAGAGGTACTTCATCATGTTTAGTATTGCATTAGATGATAATAGAGCATATTAATAAAAAATTACTTTCTAGTGGTACTCGGCTAATACTGGGATGTCATACACAATAAATGGTAAAATGATGAATGATGTTATTTCCATCCATCTTCCTTGAGCACATCCTTTTCAGAGCAATTAGATGAAATGTTCAGCAGTCTGCCTAGCTTTAATTTTATTCATACTGGGCTCTCTAGTTAGCAAAGGTTGTGCCATTGTCACTGGGACTCCAGTAGATTACAGTTGATGGCAATTGAGATACTGTTAATAACGAGAGGAAGCAAGAGCCTCCACAGTTCAGCAGTCTGACTATGGCCTGGTTTTTCAGTGCCTCACATCCAAGGGGAGAGAGCTAACACGCATCTCACTGGTTGCTGAAGGAGGCTGCTGTGTTATGGATGAACTCGTTAAACCTGACAACAAGATTATGGACTACCTTACCAGGTATTTTTCACCTTGCCTTCTGCCGTCCCTAGTACTGGCAGACTAGAGTGGAATATGACAACAGGAATACTTTGTAGTTTCTGTTGGTTTAGGTATTATCTACTTTTATGTTATCAAAGACAAGGCTGGGGTAGCACAACTGTAAATTTTAAAACTGAAATTGCACAATGTCACTGTATAAAGCTCTTTAACCCTCTTGCTCTCTAGTCTTCCTGTGACGTTAAGTAAGCAGATCTTCCTTGTCTAAAGTCTCCCAGTTGTAATCATTATGTAGCAACTGCCAAACAGCTGGAGTTTTGCTCTCTGATAAGACTTCATTTGAAAAATCTGCAAATCACCATTTGGCAGTCAAATGATTTACAGCTTAAGCTGCCTTGACCTCAAAAATCAAAACAAAGTTTTTCCATAACAGAAATTTGAAGCTCAAAAATTTTAGTCTTTCTTTTTAATTGTAATTTCAGAATGTACATATTATAGTGATTAGGCAAAGAAAAGCTAGTAAAACATTATTCTTGAAGTTGCATCTATAGATTCTGCTTACCTTAGGCACAGAGAGGCCATGATAGTAATAAAGATTGTCTTATTAGCAGACATAATTAGACAGTATTCTTAGGGAACAGTCATTTGTGGCAAAGATGTATGTACAAGCTTGTTTGTCACAATATTTCAAAAATATGGGAATATAAACATCTGAAAGTAGTAGGGGATTGGTTAAAATATGTGAAATCCATATAATGGAATACTCTAACCATTTAAAAGGATGTGTTGAAATAGATTTATTGATGTGAAAACTTGTTAATGATATATGGCAAATGATAAAATCATGTTATAAAGTAACATGCATTATGATTGCATTTTTATAAAAATAAAATATATACAGGGGCACCTGGGTGGCCCAGTCATTAAGCATCTGCCTTCGGCTCAGGTCATGATCCCAGAGTTCTGGGATCGAGCCCTGCGTCAGGCTTCCTGCTCGGTGGGAGGCCTGCTTCTCCCTCTCCCCACTCCCCCTCCTGTGTTCCCTCTCTTGCTGTCTCTCTGTCAAATAAATAAATAAATTAAAATAAATAAATAAATAAAAATAATAAAATCTATACATGGGGGCGCCTGAGTGGCTCATTTGGTTAAGCATCCAACTCTTGATTTTGGCTTAGGTCATGATCTCTGGGTCCTGGGATGAGCCTTGCATCAGGGGCTTTGCACTCAGCAGGGAGTCTGCTTGAGGATTCCCTCTCTTTCTCTCTGCTTCTCTCTCTCAAATAAATAAATCTTTAAAAAAAAAAAAATATATATATATATAT